TCCCTGAGGTGACTCGTTAGTAGACACAGAGCAACCAGGAGTCAGACCACTGGGGTATCAAAATCGAGTTGACCGAGTCTTGCCCTATTTTGCAAAGATTAGGGGGCAAAACCTAAACTGAGTTGTGATAGCTTCAGCCTGAAAGTATTTTCTTGCACTTAGGTTGTCTGCAATTTCCCAATTCTCTAAAAATTTCTCAACATTTGAGCATCGCTCTGTAAGTTTAGTGTGGGCCATTCAGACTGACTATTCAGGGTGCCGGCTGCGTTGGTTAGTTTTGTTTTGACATAGTCATATGTTTCTGTTTGTAGACTGGATGTTTTTACCTCCGGAGCCAATATCCTGGTTCGAATACCTGTGCTTATAGAAGTTTTAGCATGAAGTATTCTCATGGAAACAGTAGCACAAAAAAGATTAATTTCTGGCTTGTTGCTTTGATTTACTCTTGACATAGTCCGGTGATATGATATCATAAATTCAGGTTTATATGGTTTTGTACAGAATAAAAAATGCCAAAAAAGGTCACATGGTACAAACTAATGCTCCAGAATAAACTTATTCTCCTAGGCCTAATTTACCCAAAAGGCTTAACTGGTTAGTTTTGTACAGGCAGTCTATGTGCCAGATTAGGTCTATCAGTCCATGCCATTCTACCGTGTCATCAAATCCTTTTTGTCTTTCCACACCCAATGTAAAGCTACTGTACAGTCATAAAGCCACTGTAAGCTCCATACTGTGTGCTGTGACTAACACCTAGTGAGCCTGCTCCCCGTCTGGATCAGATTTGTGCTGCTGTATTAGCGACGGCAGAACCACGGTCACCTCTGCTTTAACACCGAAGGTGAACAGCAAGGACAGAAGGTCTTCACCGCACGGCCATGCACATCAGTGCTGCTTTTACCTGCTGCTTGGTTTTGGTCACAGATAAACATACAGCTACTTCTGTGATTTAGAAGAAAATTCGACCAGCCACGGCCACCTCCCCATTGGTTTGATAGGTGACTTCCTATTCTTTCCAGTTATTATTGCATAAAGGAATATTTAATTGCTCCTTCCACTTGGCCTGATTGGAAGGGTGTTTAGAATATCCATAGGCTACAACCAGGTCTGTTATCTTCTACTGGTCAGCACCGTAACAGCCACTTATACTTTCAGCATAACAGTATCTCACAGCAGTTTATCCTATCTATTCAGAGGGAAATGATCTTCTAACGGATGATTATTTAAGTCAGTTTGTGGTTTAATGAACATTTTTAGAAAAGTCAAAAGGTTTGAAAAAATATAAAGGTGAAAAAGAAGGCATAGCAAATCTAATGCAAAAATTAGTAGTGAATTTTAAATCTGCGCTTAATTTGCAGTGCACATTTTGATTCAAGGTTTCAACCAAACTGCTTGTCATGCAAGTTTTTCAGGGGAAGATATTGACAGACTCTTCTACAAACTCCTGTTCCTTTTCCACAAATGTACAAAGACTTCTCACTGAACACAGAAAGAATGAAACAATAACCGCAGGGAGACAGGCAAAACCTTTCAAGGCAACTGACAAAAGCAACTGAAGCACAAACCTTGTTGGTAATGGCGAAATTCTGCTATCGGACAGAGACACTTGAAAGAAGACCAAGAGCTTCTGAAATGTGTTTCAGACAATTTTTAGTTCAGAAGACAGAGAAAACTATTGGAAATGCTATTTAAAATCTTGATTAATACAGGAGAACTTGAAGGTGCCATGGTTAACAGGTAATGAGAAAGAAACCCATGCATATAGGAACATGTTCTATTTATACACATTGGAAGTAAGAGCAAAACAAAAGAAAATCTTACTACTGACAGAAAAGGAGAACAAATAAAGGAAAGCACAAAATAAAAAAGCTGTGCCTTCTTTGCTTCAGCCTTCAAATAAAGTCAATTGCTACCAGTTACTAAGCACAACCTTTTTAGGAAGATGACAGCAACAGGTAGTAGCAGGAACAAATAGACCAAATTGTATTTGGTTATGTGGTTACACTGTGGTCGGCAGTGCCTGGAAAATGCACCCCCCAGTATTTAGGAGGCCAGTCACAGACATTTTTTAATTTTATCTGCAAAATATCGTGGCATTTGATGGTTCTACATTGACCTGATGGAGGAAGGGGGAAAAAGGTGGACCTGTGGGTAGAAAACTGCTCGGCTTAACTCCAAAGCCCAGGAAGATAATAAACTATTGAAATCTAAGCACTTTGAGAATGAGGCAATGTAAAAAGTGACAAATCAAGAAGTCACTGTGAATTTGTCAAGAATAGGAGGAACAGCTGTTCAGAGAGCAGCACTGAAAGGGATCCAGGGATTATGGGGGATCAGAAAAAGAATCTGAACCAACATGGTGATGCTATCGCAAAGTCGGCAAATGCCACGCTGAGATAGGTTACCTAATTAACCTGATTATTGGATATAGATGTAAGGAAGAATGCGAGGTTGAAGAGTCCGGGGCAGCCTAAAAATGGTAAAAGGTTTAGAAAACACGGCCTATGAGATCATGAGGCCTATGAGAATTTGTTTAGTCTAGAAAAGCAAAGTTTAAGAGAGAATATGATAATATTATGTGAAGTGATACAGTATCTAAAAATGTTAGTGTAAATTGATGCTTATGAATTGCTTTTTCTATCTGCTAGACACTGGGCAAAGGAACTTTAATTTGCAGCCAAAGTATGGTTTAGATGCTGGGGAAAACTTTGTGGTTTTAAGGAGAGCCGAGTGCTGAAACAGGCTATCTAGGAAGACTGCAGAATCTGCTTTACCGTGGGTTTTTAGAAAGAGATTAGACCGGCCTTTGGCAGGAACAGTCACACCTCAGAGCAGCAGCGAGTCTTAGCTGCGAAGTGCTTTGGTCCTACAGGTGGTATTAACGCACACCTTGTGCTTTCCCCAAAGAAACAAGACGAAATAGATGGCGGACACCCCGGCAGAAATTGCAGCTAGCGAGGACGGACACACCACCACGTTTTCCTCAACAAGTCTTGAGGCTTCACCTTTGGGCCTACCTCAAAACTCACAGGCCCACCTCCGGGAAACATCTCCCACGCTTCAGCTGAGCTCGGACAGCCCAAACGGCCACCTGGTCCCGAAATTGCCCCCCCC